AGAGCGTTTGTTTCCACTTGGACCAGGCTGCTTGAGCCACAGCAGGCTCAAGCTGTGAGTCAGGCTTATCTCTTAACAGATACCTGTAGACGTGTTCCTCTTCACTGGCACGGGGAGGAGAGCTGAGCCCGTCCTTGGGAACTGAGGCACTGGAGCTTTTGGCACTAGAGCTGTATATAGGAGACTGGGACTGAGGCTGTGGAAATGAGATTTGCATTAGAAACAGACTACAAGGCAGTATGTGCATGGCTGCATTGCAACCCCTCACATGGATAGGGCAGAACAAAGCCCAGCAGAAGAAAAAAAATAGATCTGCTACATAGACAACCAGCCTCAATCAGATGAGCTACACCAGGAACAACTGTTCTCCACTTGCTTCAGATTTGCCTATGAGTTACAGATATGTGCTGGAAACCCCCAGTGAGCTTTCCACAAGCTACATACAGATGACTAACACTAATCTCATCACATTACCATTTTATCGGAACAATGACTATGGGTCTCAAATTCTTTTCTGCCATTTACTCCAAACAGTTCTATTTAAAACCCACACCTCCCCCTGACTCTGTTCATAGCCAAATTCATCCTTATTTCCTTGAGAGATGCTGCAGCAACAAAATAAGCATCACCCCTCCCCATCCACAGCCATTCACGTACTTGCTGGTGGACGTATCTGGATGTGCTGGGTTGCCACTGGTCCACAGGGTCAATCACAGAGCCATTCAGGGCCTCGTTGGAAGGTGGGGGAGGCACTGGAGGTGGCACAGCAATCTCCTGGTACGTGTGGTTTCCAGTTGGATAGGAGTAAGGTGTTTCCTCTGTTAGAAACACTGGTCGTTTGGAGATATGTGAAGTGGTGGATTCCAGGTCTGCCAGTAAGGCGTCTGCAGGAAAGAAACAAAACAAACAACCAAAATGGTAAAATCCTGGACTACAGTTTTGTCTCATTCAGGATACCCACATCTGAAGTTTAGGGAAGACTTTTCATCTAGGGTGATCTATTAGATGCCTTGAAAAACATTCCTGCAGCCCAGGACTGAATGGGTTAATCAAATGTCTAGTATAAAGAAAATGCCAAGAGGTAAAAAAGCAGTCAGAAAAACTGTGTCAGTCTCTGCTTTTTGTCTTAACTGAAAAACCACCCCAACAACAAGGACCCATAGGCTCACTGCACCCTGCAGAAGAGCAACCTAGGAGAAACCTGCCCAGAGATCAACTCACAACAGGATATTGACACAGACTAATTACAGGCCCCACATCATCACAGAGTCATTTACTGTGGCCGCCGGCACTGCTTTCTGCAGGAAACAAGATCTCGGGAGGGGTTTTCTCCAGAGTCTAAGGTAGTGGAAGAAGAATGAAACTTTCAAATTAGTCCATCGGCACAGCAGCAGTATGTGATTCAGCTTCCCTAACATAAATCCTTACCAGTACATCACACAAACAGTTAACTAGTTTCCAGAGGCTGCCAGGTAAACGCCATTTCTTCTGGAAACAATTCTCCACTTGCTGGGTGGAGACTGCTCACAAATTCCTGAAGAGAAGAAAAACTTCCACAGGCTAGAAACCCCATCACTCATGCCAGGCAGAGGAACCCACATCACACAGTCAGCATCTCTCAGAAATCTCAAAGCAGGAAAAATGCTCTCCCTTCAAAGATGGGGCATGAAAAGGCAATTCCCACCCTTCTGCATTTCTCCTGCAATCTATCTTCTGCCCCTTCCCAATCTCACCCTCCTCTGTGGTGACTCAGAGGCAAATCCTGACTTGTTGGACTTTGTGTCCTGCGATCCACCCTGCAGAGCCCACTGCAGTCCTTGGTGTAGGACACTCCAGCAAACAACCACAGGTCAGCACCGTACTCACTTTCTAAAGAAAGCCCCACTGGCTGGGTGCCCAGCTTTCCAGGGGCAGCAAGCTCCAGTGCACACCTCTTTAAGGCTATTAGAGAGGAGCAAGTTCACTAGGGAAATCAGCAGTCTTCATTAGAAGAGCATCAGGACATACCTGGCAGGTCTCTTCAGAGATGTGGAATTCAGACAGACAACAGCAAGAGAGCTTCAGCAGAATTAGGAGGAGACTCTCAGAAAGCCCCTGGATCTCCCTCCCCTCCACACAGCCCCAGCTGGATTCAGGCAGCCTCATTTGTCTTCCTCCGCCGGCACACAGAGGTACTTGACAGGTTTGGGGTGTGAGGGCTCAGCCTGAGTGCAGTCATCCTGCAGTATCCTCCAGCAGAGTCACAAGGAGCTGAAGTTACCAGGTGGGACTAGAATAGCAACAGAGCAACTGCTGACCCTCATGGCTGCCCACCCCTGGCTGGCAGAGGGCAACACCTGCCAGCTCAAAGCCACTTCCTGAGCACTGCAGGCCACACCAGCCAGTGCACTTAGCAACCCTTCCAGAAAATATATAAAGGGTCAAATGGAGGACATTATTATTGCATTACAAAACGAGGAAGGTGCTGCTTTTATATCGACTCTCTTCCCCAAACTAAAGCATCACACACACAAAAAGCAGTCCTGCCCTCAGAGAACAGAATACAGCCATTAGCAAATTAAATACTGTGCTAAATTAACTCTATACACCTTTCATTTAGCCAGAAAGATGCTCCAAATCATTTAAGCCACAAGCATCTTCCTACAGGGGCCAAAATACCTCAGAAGCAGTTTCTCCAAAGGGATACAAGCTTCCTGCAGCTGGGGAAAAATGAACTTAAACCTTCTTTTTAAGCAAAATAACAGCTGGTGGATTCCAGAGTGAAAGGCACATACCTCAAGGGAACTGCTGAAGAGCTGCAATTCCTCCAACCAGGCAGGTACTATGACTGGAGGTTTCATGCACACAACCTCCAAGAGAAGTGCTATCCCAGAAGGTGTGGTTTTTTGCTTCTCCCCACCAATGACAAAGGCAAATCAAACTCCACCAGGAAGTGAAAATCCCATCAGGGTATTGGGCTCCTCCAGCCCTGCATTGGGGACCCAAATCATTTTTCCATCCTCCACCCTCACTGCAGGACAGGCAGATGTAACCATCTCACCACAAGACCCTCCTACTCAGCTCAGCACTCTGCTGAATGAGCCACCGGACAGAAACCCACTGCTTTTTACTCACAGCACAGAAGGGAGTTGGGGTAGCTTTACTGGTTTAGTCTTACAAGTCTGCAGAAGAAGAGGGGTCTGGAAATGCCAGGAGAACTCTGCCCCCAGGTTGTGAAGGAGTTAAGGAGAAGACATTACAGTTTAATGATTAACTTCCCCCATACCCTCCCCCTTCCTGACTTGAGCAAACAAGGCAGAGCTGAAGGAACAGGAAGTGGAGGGAGGAGAAAAGGCTGGAGAGGAATCACTCGGTCACTCTAACTGTGCTTCAACTTTACAGCAGACACCAAAGCAGCTGCAGGAAGGCACCACTGCACCCAGCAGGACAGGGAGAGGAGCAGGACAGGGGCTCCCACACCAGTTTATGGGTGGCACAGGACCTCTCCTTGTGCTTGCTCTTCTCCATATCCTGCAAACCCACGGCACACCCTTCATCACGCCGCAGTCACTCTCTCCAAGCTCACTGCCACAACAGTCTTCCCCGTTTGCATCCGTCCCCCTTGCAGCTTCCAGCCACACAAACTGTTCTCCAACCCAATCCTATCAGCAACCACAGTTTCGTTAAGTTTTGCTGGACTGAGCAGTTGCATCCATTCAGAGTCCAACAACAAACCCCGAGCAGCACCTCATTTCAACATGTCCCAAAGCACTACGCATTCACTTAGGATTTGTGCAAGTGCTTAACACCACCAGAAAAGAACAGAGGTGGGGGAAAAGAAAGGACATTGATTAGAGAAAAAAAGATCCATCTCTCCATCTTTCTTCCAGAAAAGGGGCCAGACAGCTGTAACGTGATGAACTGTACCAAAGATGCTGTGCCCTGCACAGCACTGCACCTCGTGCTACAGCACTGAGCTCACTACCGTGACTGCTCCTTAACCAGAAATATTAAATACTTAAATACAAATATTAAAGGTTTGATCGATTTATTGGGTAATGAAGTGTTCTCTTCCCCAGGCGACTCCTGAGGGACACTGCTGCAGGAGGTGTAAATCACCCAGTTAGTCCCTCCCAACCCAGAGGCAGCAGTTGACTGGCGCAGGGCAGTGCACAACCCGCAGCCGTCAGAGGGCACCACCACATCCTTACATGGAAAGATGAAACCCGACAGCAATGGCTAACTTGGCAGCAACATCACCTCACTTGTTCGTCCCCGCAGAGACGGGAACCTGTCCCTATTTTGGGCACACAGAAACTTTCTGTGGGCGCCACGTGTGCGGCACCTCCCCACGGAGAGACATCCCCAGACGCTGCAGCATCTCAGGGACCACATACACTGACCTCAACAGCTTTGCTGCTGCCCCAAATACTCTCTAAAATTCTACACACAGCTCTAAGAGAAAGAATCTCCACCGTTAAGAGATCAGAGATTAATTTATCTCTAGAGGATAAGCATTTAGTATCAATAAAGTAAACGGGCAGGGTTACACTAGACCTTCAAGCCATTGCTCCTCCAGGATCACCCCTCCTCCCACTCTCACCCCTACAAGAAGCTACCAACACAACCCACAAACTGTCAACTCACAAATGCGTGGACAGGGTGGAGTCACACAGTTCAATTTCCAAAGACCCAGGAGGGCTCAGCTCACCCACAGGCACGGGCTCTGCATATAGAAACCTGCACTTTCCACTCCGCTAACAGCGTGATGCTCAGTGGGGTGTGGAAGAGCTAGAGATACCTGCTAAAAAGCCACCAAACTAGACACTCCTCTTGTCATTACTATCCTGGTTCAGACACAGAGCTGACAGAACCCAAACTCCAGCACAATGCATCTGAAGGTGTGCACACCTGGGTACTCCACCAGCTCAGATAACTTGGCCAAGCAGTTGGCAAAGGTACATGCAGATGTGAAAGAGAGGCACAGGACCAAGTCCTCCTCCCTTCACTGAGCAACCAAAAACTACATGCTCAAGTGCAATTGATGTTCAGGCCAAAGGGCTACTCAAACCACATCCTCCCCTGTATGGGAGGACAGCTGTGTTCACATTCAAGTGATTTTTCTACACAGATTTTCCTGTGGAGGAGGGACAGTAAAGAATGATGTCATGTTTAATACCTTTACTGCCATAAAGTACTCCAAAACATCTGGAGGTCCAGGTGCGTTAGTTTGCCCCCATCTCTCCTTCCCTTTTGCCAAAAGTCATTATTTATTATTAGATCCCTGGGATTCTGGTCTTCAAATCCCACACACAGCTCTGTATATAATATTAGATATGTATAAGTGGTCCTTAGTACCAACTGCTTTGCTTTAAGGCAGTTCGCAGCATCTGCCAAAGCTCTGCTAGTCATTGAGACAGCTTGGGACAAGAACTCTGAAGCTTATGTCCAATGCATTGAAGCACTCAGAAAAATCCCTTTTACAAAGAAGCTCAGCAAGATGAAAGAGCAGGACAACACCTTTGGGTAAGTCCCATTTACCAGTTCAAACTGCACTGAAAAGACTAATCATCTCCAAGTTATACACTGCACATTCCTGCACTATCTCCCCAGCCCACACCTCTGTCAGGCCGAGGAGCAGCTCACACATTCCAGGGGCTCCAGCACAGGCCCCTTCTCCACCGCAGCAAGTTAGCACTCGCTGTCCTGCAAACACAGTATCCTCAGGCAGAAACGGCCCGTGCAGCCCCAGGGCCACATTCTTCAGCTTCCCACATCCCAGGTTTGTCTGATAAAGAGCAGCAACACCAGACTAGGGATCCCAGTGTGGCTGGTTCTGAGGTACAGAACAGGAAGGGATAACATGGGGGCCCCTTTGCATTGATGCCCACATCAACCCCCTTTT